AGCTAATTTTTTGTTGCTCAGACCCACAATGGACTTCCAGAAGCGACATCTACACAGAGAACCGGTTGTTCACATATTTGAATCCCACCACTGTCCAATACTGAAGGTTTTTAAGAAGAGATTTGACAACGATTTATCTGACATAGTATAGGGTTTCCTGCCTGAGCAAGGGATAGGACTAGAAGACCTCCAAGGTCCCTTCCAACTCTGTTATTCTGTTATTCTCCATACCGTTATACAGTACATCACACCAATTTAGAGGTCCCTTAAGGGATATACTGTAGTGCAGACATGTCAAACTCGCGACGTCACGTGATGTCGCGTGACGTATTGGAACTTTTTTTCCATTGCTGGCAATGGGGTGGGTGCGGTTTCATCGCGACGCATCCAGCCCGCGGACTGGCAGTTTGACACCCCTGCTGTAGTGTATCATTGAAGAATATGATTATCTCACACAAGCCAGGAAAATATTTACTGAACTGGGGCTGCACATTTCTCCACATTTCTGGATCTGGGGAAAATATAGTTTCAGGTCCACACATACCTCTATACCTTCCTGGAGGAAAGGCAGAATATAAACCTAATAAATGTATAATTAAATAGTATTGTGGTAGGTGTTTTACTGGGACAAAACTCTAGCTTGTATTAAGGACCATTTGAACACTGCTCAAATCTGATTGGCATTGGTATATATGTCCCCCAAAACACCCAATTTGCCAAATGATCCTCAAATTCTAATTCACCTCCTGGAAAATACAGAAGACTTTATTCTTTAAGGGGTGACCCTAACTCTGTTTAGAAATTCAAGAACTTTTCCCATCCTAGTAAATCTAAATCCAGTATAGTAACTGCATGATGTATAAAATGGAGATGCTTACTATCACCTGCTTTCCCCTGCCTTCATCTGAAAAATCACCCCACATCCTCTTCTATTCATCCTTAAGCAGAGTATGGGTTGTGAACAATTACATTATGTTTACACAACAGCTGAAAGTCAACTGCCAATGAAATCTAAACTGAGGAACAATATTTAAATGTCCCACCATCTCTTGGGCAAAAATCAATTGCAAGGTTCTTTCCAGGGGGAATTTGGATCAGACATCGAAACCCTTGTGAACATTTGCTTCCTGTACTGTTGATTCATTGAAATGTTCTCTTAAACCATGTGGAAGCTGATCACAGCTAAGCAGTCTTTTGAGACAGCAGGGATGGTGTTTTTCTGCCTGATGAATAATAATTAAGCTTAACAGCAGCTGGAAACTACAGTAAAATGTGAAGCCCCCCGAAGTAAATTGGGTCATCTTTTCAGCTTTGCTAGTCATTCTTGAAGAGAATGATGGTTAAAGCACCAGGCTAGTATCCTGGAGATTCTACTTCCGCCTTAGGCTGAAAGACAACTGCATAATCTTGATCACTCTCTCTGAGACCTAAGAAGGAGGCAAAGGCAAATCACTTGGGAAAACTTGTCAAGAAAACTGCAGGGATCTGCCCAGGCAGTTGTCAGGAGTTACACTGACATGAAGGGACCAAAAAGAGAAAGAGAGAGAGACACACACACATATTCCTGAAGATTTTGAGGAAAGGACATCATATGGCAATAAAGAATTAGGTTGATTTCAGCTCATTGGGAAAATAGAGCCTGGAGGCCTAGTTTTTAATTTATTATTTATTTAATTTTTGTCCTGCCTGTATTATTTTTATAAATAAATAAAGGTGGCGAACATACTTAATACTCCTTCCTCCATCTTCCTCCAACCCAACCTGTAAGATAGGTTGGGTTAAGAGAAAATGATTGGCCCAGAGTCACCCAGCTGGCTTTCCTGCCTAAAGCAGGACTAGAACTTGCAGTTCCTGGTTCCTAGCCTAGTGTTTTCACCACCACATCAAACTGGTTATAGGTAGTCCTCGACTTACAGCCGGAATGAAGCATTAAGTGAATATTGCAATTGCTAAATAAGCCCATTTTTCTCTACTTGTCCAAAAATTACAAGTAAATGCCGTTTTTTGGCCAAAAAAAATATCATAAAGTACAGTCATGTGACTGTGGGGCACTGCAAACAATCATAAATGTTTTGTTGTTTCTAAATACATTTTCTCTTTTTCTGCGAGTTACATATCAAATGATAGTACTTGGATTGTAGATAATTTAGAGATTCTTCCTTTAGAAAAAAAAACAAATGTTTTAACATTTACTGTAAAAGGAAAATACTTATGGAACCGAATCTGTTTCAGAAATAAACTTGTATATGTGTACCTATTTCTATGCAACTTCGAAGACCAGTCATATGTCTATTTTTCAATACCATCATAATTTTGAATAGTTGCTAAATGAGTGTTTAGTAAGTAAGGACTATTTGTTCTATCCCACACATGTATTATTGATGCAGAAATAATGGTAGTTCTAGTTCAAACATTTTCCAACAGACTATGGAAAATTGTTGTAATTCACTGTGTATAAACTTTAAAACAACAGCAATACATTTTTAAAAAATAATGGATTATAACCTGAGTTCATTAGGTCAAAATGAAGATTCCCCATACTACAGTTTAGCTGGAAACAAACAGATATTTCTTCTCCTTGTAGGATCAGACTGTTGAAATTTTTCCATTGTCTGTGTGATGCCTGTTGGATACATCATGCCTCTGTCCATCTAATTATTCCCTTTATGGTGCAAAATGTAGGAGCAATCACATGGTGTCCCACTTTCCCTCTCTGTTATGTCACTGTTATATACATAAAAATGTTAATTATTTTCTTTAGGACTATCTATGCTAATTAATGACATTATTTCCTGTGATCTGGAACATTCTGTCTTTTGGTATAGATAATGTGCCTTTTTAAAATCTCTTATATGTTCTTCATGCCTCGTCTCATTGCTTTTATTTTTGTATATAGTTTCAGAATTGATATTTCCCAATATTTTCAGAATAAACATCAAGGGGTTATGTGTGTGTTTTTTTAACTAACTTAACTAAGTGGCATGGATGCTTGCTCTGATCTGGATATAGGACTTGATTATAGTGTGCTGGTTACAAGTTAAACTGGAAATTACCAATACTGTAGTAATTTTCCAAAAATAAGAACTGAATGAGATAGCTACATCTGAGGGATAAAAAGTTATGCTATGAAAGTTTGTTTTTCTTCTCATTTTCTCATTTCCCTTCAACTTAGTTTGCTACAAATTTCACTTCAAACTTAGGTGAATTCATTAGCATTCCTTGACTGTATCTAAATGATTTTCATAAACAGATTAAACCAGACTATTCTGGTTGCTTAATTATATCTACTTAATAGGTAAATCAAAGTTGCAATTAATGTAAGCCACATTAGCACTACATATTTAATTATAGGCACATTAAAGGCAGCAATAATTATGATAAAATATTTTGAAGTATTATTTTTATTTATAAATTTTCATTTTTGCCTAACAAAAACAGCACAGAAACCACAATCCTGTATACACTTGCACAGGAGTCTCTTGAATTTAATATTTCTGAGTAGGTAAGCACCTGTAGGATTTTACTACAAATTGCTCAGAGTACTAAGGGATTGGAAAGGGCAATAGAATATTTATGACTAAAACTGACTGTATGATTCGGCCCAGTTTTTAAGGTTTCGGGGTAACCTTAAATATTGGAATAATGGAACTAGTGTCTTCTGAGAGTCTTATTTCTAAAAGCTACTATAACAGCCCCCAAAAGCCCCTCAATCAGCTTGTTTCTAGGTTTCATTATGGTTAAAAATTAAGAATGTAAACCATGTTCCTCTAGAAGACTTTCATATCTTATGCTCATCCAAAGCCCCTTAAAAACAGGCTAAAAAAAATCAGTATAACCAGTTTGATGACTTCTCAGCATCACTTCTTGTGGTCCTCCAGTGATCAAAAGATTAAGCTGCAGCCTCAACCCTTCAGATGATGTATATGTTAGATACATTTACTAGGTAGCCCAAAGCAAAGACATAAAGATTCTAATATGCATCCCTGCTGAAAGGAAACCAGAAAGTGAACAGTGTTGTAGCTTGCATGATGCATGCAAGTCTGGGAAATTGTGTTTTTCCAAACATTACTAAAATGCAATTCCCAGAAGCACCATACTATATGGCTAATTATCAAGTTGTGGGATTTGACCAGAACATAGAATAATAGGATTGGAAGAGACCTTGGAGGTCTTCTAATCTAGTCCAATCTCCTGTTCAAGCAGGACATCCATCTAGCCTGATGCCTTAACAGATAGTTCTTGACATATGACTATAATTGGTCATTGGTCATAACTGGTTGCTAAGCAGGCTGGTTGTTAAATGAGTTGGGCTCGATTTTACAACTTTTTCCCATAGTTGTTAAGCAAATCACTGTAATTGTTAAGTGAATCAGGCAATCATTAAGTGAATCCAGCTTGCTCATTGACTTTATTTCTCAAAAGCCGGCTGGGAAGGTTAAAAATGGAGATTACATGATCCTAGGACACTGCAACAATCATAAATATATGCTGGTTGCCAAGTAGTGAACTTTGATCATGTGGGGATGCAGTGATGGTGGTAAGTGCAAGGACCAGTTATAAGTCACTTTTTTCATGATAACTTTGAACGGTTGCTAAACGAAAGCTTGTAAATCAAGGACTACTTGAACACTTAACTGGCTATTCTGTGATAAAGTATAAAATATTGAATTCACTGCCCAGAAGTGGTAAGAAAATTCCTAATGCACATTTTGTTCTGGAGAAAAAAAGAGTTTGAAGAAGTAGCTTTCCAATGATCATAGCTACCCTTTGCTTGTTACTGGAATGAAAAATCTGATGCATATTTTAGGCACCAGAAAACAGCACTTAATTAATTGGCAAAGCCATTTATTGTAGTTTTAGAAGTGTGAAAAGAAAATTAAGAAAAGAGTGAGAAACCACAAGGAATTCCTTATAGGAAATTGTAAGCATACTCAAAAGCATTTGCGATGGACAATGGAAGGACCAGCTTCTTCATATTCATCTTTGCTGATCCACATTTGCTAGAAAGTTGACAGAGAAGCTAATATGGAACCTCCAATCCAAACAGAATATTTACGTTCTGGAGGTGCAATCATCTAGAAAAAGTAAAAAAATATATAGAAATGAGTGGAAAAATCTGTTTATATCACTCATAATGGTTAAAGAGACCTCTATTTAATTTTATTTATTCTTATTGTATAAAATGGAGACAATACAGCATGTAGTTATAATATCTATAATAATTATAAGGTTCTATAGAAATTAGAAATTGTTTAAAACAAACAATTATTCATCTACTTCATGACAAATTCTGTGGTGGCTTTTTATTTATTTATTTTAGCTCAGTTTAAACTGAATGATTTATAGCCTGCTCTATCCTAAAAGCTCAGGGACGTCACATAAAGGCAGCATAAGCAGCACTTGAAAAGCAGCATCTACATATATATCTGAATCTAATATACCAATCATACTTGTGTTATTCAATAAGTCTTTGATCCTTTCTCCTGACTGATATGGCTGGTTCATAGTACAGGTTGTCTTCAACGAATAGAATAGAATAGAATAGAATAGAATAGAATAGAATAGAGCAGAGCAGAGCAGAGCAGAGCAGAGCAGAGCAGAGCAGAGCAGAGCAGAGCAGAGCAGAGCAGAACAGAACAGAACAGAACAGAACAGAACAGAACAGAATAGAATTCTTTATTGGCCAAGTGTGGTTGGACACACAAGGAATTTGTTTCTGGTGCATAAGCTCTCAGTGTACACACAAGTAATAGTGATAATCATGATCATATACAACATGAAAATACATTAATCATAAATCGTGAATTTAGTGACCATGCAAAGTTACAACAGCACTGAAAAAAGTGACTTATGATCGTTTTTCACACTTACAACAGTTGCAGCATCCCCGTGGTCACACGATCAAAATTGGCAATTGGGTCATATTTATGATGGTTGCAGTGTTGTGGAGTCATGTGATCATTTTTGGTGACCTTCTGACAAACAAAGTCGTTGGGGAAGCCAGATTCACTAAACAACCATGTCACTGACTTAACACCTACAGTGATTCACTTAACAATTGTGGCAAGAAAGGTCGTAAAATGGGGCAAATTTCACCCAACAACTGTCTTGCTTAGCAACAGGTATTTGGGGCTCAGTTGTGATAGAGACATCTCTATAAATAAACCAGAAAACAAACAATGTTTTCTAATTACGGTAAATTGCACCAGCTCCCAGAAAATGACAGAAAGCCATGAACAACCAATGACCATATCCTGCTACTTCACTCAGCTTGTACTTTATCTTGTGATCCAAATATATTCCTATATGGCAGGAAGGTTGGGGGGGAAAGTTATGGAAATTTTATTTTAAAAATCAAAAAGTCGCTTTTTTTTAAAATATCACTTCTTGTCTGAGCAAAAAGTGGCCTTCTTGGAAAACAGTTTAAAACTAGGCAGAACATTTGCTAAATTTGTGTATGCCGGTGTCAATAAAGATAAGAGCACAGCACAAACTGCGCATGTCTGCATGATGGTGGACGCTGCCCTTTAGCTCCGCACAAATGGAGTGGAAGAAGGGTAGAGGGGGGGCTTCGGAGACCCCCGAAGGAGCCAGAGGAGAGACCCCCGAGGAGCCAGAGGATCTGCCCCCTCCCTGGTGAGTTTTCCGGGAGGGGGAGAAGACAGCCGCGGGCCGCTCGCCGTTTTCTTTCT